TGCGTTCTACCGTAATATATCGTTGTTCAAGGCCGTGCTCCTCAAGATCAACGAATTTTCTACCGGGATATGTCTGAGCAACATCCCGTACTAGATCCTACTGGTCAACCCCCTTCACCATTAGCGTCTCAGGACCACAAATCCAGTGGTCTCAGACGATCTTATAGACTTGCGGGTCGTTCGACTCCGCTGTACAGCTTATCGGCAACAAGAAGGCGATCTCGTCATGCGTCTAAATTGAAGGCCTCTCCTACCGTTGTTTATCCTCCCGCGGGGATTCCTCATGCTGGACGTTCCGCTATGGTTGGTGCAGTTCCTGGAGATCCTAATCGTGCTACGGTGGACCTACCCGTTATCGACCAACTCCCTCCAGTTCGTTCCCTCGGTCGGCCTCCTCTGGCGTCATCTCTGCCCCGGCCTACTACAGTAACCTCTCTTCCTGCTCATACCTCATTGCCCACTTCTCCACTACTACCTCCACATCATGAAGGCTTCAGAGATGCATCCTCGTTGGGTGAGCCGCTCTACAAAGTCAACAAGACGACTGTGAAGAGTGAAGATCATATACCAGATCAGGAATGGCGTCAGCTTACTCGTACGAGTGAGCACCTCGCTGAAGAATGGCGTAAGGCTGGGCACAAGGCCTTCGATGATACTCCAGGGACGGGCCCTATTTCGACGACGTTGAGAATGTGGGAAATGTTTTGCTATTCTAAGTGGGTATCGCCGTCTGGTGTATCTGCTGTGAGAGCCTTCATGGAAGCGGCCATCTCGGCTAAGATAAGTGACGAAATCAAGAAAGCTTTCGGCCGGCAGATTATTTCCTCGGAAAACTTACGATCGAGAGTGTTCTACGACTATTTCTACAAGTTCGCCATTTCATATCTCAACGATAACTACACGGACTCTGTTTATGTTACTACGGTTCTACAGCGCATCCTCAATCTGACTCAGGGTACTGTTTCTCTCTCTGATCATCTACAAGCTGCCGAGGAGCTGATTGAGGAATTGAAGTTCTGTGCTTCTTCTCGCGTCGTTCAGCTCGACATCGACCATCTTAGTAATTCGCTCATGATGTCTCTTGGCGAGCCTTTCCGTGGGTGGTATTATGAAGAGCTGAATGTTGCAATCCGATCAGGGACATTCAGTTCGTTGGACTCCATTATCGACATCTGTAAGGTCATCAAACGACGGTCTCGCATTCTGGGACCTGAACGGTCCTACTCACATCCGTTAGTGGTACCTTCCAAGACATCTACTTCAACAGCACAAGTTTCTTCAGTTGGCCTTAATTCAAGCCAATGTGTGACGGTTCTGGATGGTCAGAGCGGTGTTGCATCTAAGGATGTGGTGGCTAGTAAATCTTTCAAGCAGAGTAATCAGCGTCCTAAGGGCTGTCGAAGATGTTATCAACAAGGTCACTTTACCACAGCATGCACTGCTG